GACCAAAATAGAACAAACCACCAAAACCAAGTCCAGTACCGCAAAGAATCCAAAACAGGTGATACAAGTACTATTCCCTTATTATACAGATAGCCAGTTTTGAAAATTAATGTATTTTTCTGCAGAAACAACAATAAAAAAAATTTATATATATACACCAGTTCATCTGGTTTCATAAAACAATGTGCAAAACAAGAAAAAAAAGTTGCACGTGAAAGCCTTGTTATCTTAAGTATATCTTTTCTGTATCGTTTAAGTATCGTCTTCATTCTAAAAAGCAATGATACTAGAATAAATAGCATTTTTGTACTTCAGCACATACAAGATTACATATCCCAGGGAAATTCTACAAATTGGCCTAAACGGAATTTGCTTTAGGATTTAACGTTTTACCCAAGAACTGCATCCTGTATTTGCTGAATTTTAGTAATACCAAACAGCAGATTTAGTAACAGCTTTCTTAACAAATGCTATCTCATGGTCAATGCTACAGTTTTAAAAGAACAAAGCATCACCTGCCCTCTAGCAAAATTTTAGAAGGAAAAAAAAAGAAATCTGTTTTAACTGACTGCTACAAATTCCATTAAAAAACTGCAAAAAAGCCATTCTATTTTTTTTTGCCACCAGACAGATGAATTAAACTGGAAGCATTATCTATTCTCAGCTCTGCATTAGTATTCCAATTGTGTGATTAAAATAAGAACACAAAACATTTATTTTCCTCTTCAAGGGATTTAGTCTACTTTATGGACTAATATCCTATTTCTTTAGAATAACTACATAGATATATTTATTACTTTAACTCTGTATTTTTTTTTTCCTTTTACTATTTCCTTGGGAAATAGAAGGTATTTGAAAGCAGTTAAAAAAAAAATAAATTTAATTGCCTCCAACTCTTCACTTATATCTAAAGGTGCACATGACAAAAATCCTATTGGGAGAAAAGGTCAAGATAAAGTACGAATGGAAATGTTTCTTGTCCTAATTATCCTAACAATTACTCCAGAAGAAAAACTTGACACTATCATTAAGTTATCTAAAAACAGATTGGAGAAGCACACCAAAATCTCTGTAAGGACATATATAGTGTGCATCTGTAGAGAAACATCTAACATACCTACAGTTAAGTTTCCCCAGCACACAGGACCCCAGCACTCCACTGCTGGCTGCTCCAATATACCTGGAAAAATGAGGATTCAGAGCTTAGTTTGCATCACAAACCAAGGGCCACCGTAGAGTCTCATCACACTATTATTTTTTTTTCATAATGACAGTAATTAGTTTTCTTAAGTAGATATTAGCCTACTTTTAAGAAAAATGGCTGAAATACACGTATAGTTATCAATTGACAAGAGAATATTTTAATAACTTTATGTGCTCCTGACCTAGAAATATAAACTACATATACATCTTTTTCAGATTATTATCTGTGACAGAAGTAGCACAATTAATCCAGAACAATAAAACACTATGCTTAAATTCATTTTATAGGAATGGTCAAGATCTGACCTTTTAAATGAAATACATTATGTGCAATGAAACTCAATTCTCTACTCATCACTTACTCAAGAGCCTGGATTCATTCTTTGTTTTGCTGTCATTCTATTCCCCTTAATAAAGTACAAAGTGATGGTGTGGAATCAGTTGAGTAATGGGTTTGTATTTGATAATTAAACCTTTCCAGCATAAGCAAGCAGCAAACATCAAGGTCCAACGCAGAAACAAAGTGCCAGTACTTTTCCAAATCCTTTGTGAGAACTAATTTCTCATAGCAGATGAAAGCACTGTGAAATTTTATCTGATTTCAGAATAATTGATTTTCTGTTATAAACTGGATAATTTTTAAAACACATCATGAGAAACCATTACTAATAAACCATAAAAGAACACCACACACCCTTCTTTTCTCCCAACAAAGTTTGGCTACAGGATGCCACAATCTAGCATAATCTGATGTCATGGGCAGCATATCCAAACAAGCATGAGCAATCTGGGCATCATATTTTCTTTGGATGTTCCAAATGTTTAGAAAGTTAAGCATTTGACTTTCTTTAGTACTTCTGAAGTTTCTACTTTGATTTGTCAGGAACATAGACTAGAAATAAATAAATAACCTGTTGTGCTTACTTGGTCACCTTTTTAACAAGCCTCAGAATAAGCCTTGCTGTACATTCAGTTAGATGTCCAACAGTTGTGACCATAAAAGTATCTACATTTTCTCCTAAAGCCTCTAGGCAGCCGTCAGCTCATCATATTTCCCAGACACTGATGGCTACTGAACTTGTTCTTACTCGTGTCTGAATGTCTATCTTAATCACGCGATTGTGTGTGTACACTCAGCCACACGAACATCACCAGCCACAGGATCGATTTGCACGAGCACCAAGCCATACACAGCAGATGCAGAGCTGAGCACACTTTCCATCTCGTTGGAGGGCTAAGCAGTTCTGCCCCTAAAGAGCATGTGCTTACGAAGCATCTCTGCTAAAGACTCAACTGCAGGCATGACGAGGCACCACCATCAAGAAGTACGTTCCGTGCTGAACACTAGAATGGTTTGAAGACGGGAGCTTCCACTAAATTGTAGATAACAAAGTGTTACCTAGATTAATCCAACTAATCTTGCACTGGGCTTAGCTTGTCAGATAACTCCCTGAATCATTTTGAGCTATTAGTCCAAAATATTTTTTAAATACACCACAGCCCCTTCTCAAAAGCAGAAAAAGCAGCAATCTTTGAGGCCAGCCACATTAATGAAACCACACAGTCCATTTTCAGCTACAGAATATACCATTTCCTCCTTTTATTACAGTAAGTGTTCTCTGACGGTGAGCTTTTACAGTACTTCCGAGCTCTTTAATGACTCGCTTTCTAAAGGAGATGGCCTCATCAAATTCCCAGCTTTAGCATACCAGTTCTCAAATGCCTTGCCTCTTCCACCTTTGTTCTACTGGGCCAGATCTGTATTATACTAACTAGTTAGCGAGATGCACATGCCAATGGTCCCAAAGAATCACCTTAGGTACCAACTACAGCTGGCCATTACCTCTCCGCTGCTGCACAAGTCAAGTCTTTCTAGAATTGCATGGGCTCTGAATCTGCTACAGGTCCTGGCAAGCACTTAATCTTCTTTTGCTCCACTATCACACTTGTTCCCTCCTCCATTCACTTCAGTTTCAGCCTAGAGAGCAGAAAAACTGTTGGAAAAAGTAAGCATTATTTTCTTTTCATGTCAGCATGGAAAAAGAGGAAAATCCCAAACTCTCAACAACTATACCACCTTAAGTGGAAGGCCAACATGTCTCCACCATCTGGAGTGATATCCAACTATTTAAAGTTAGTTAATATATTATTAGATGCTTTTTAGAGAGATAGAATAAGGTACACACCATGTCAGAAAAATTAGAAAGAAGTTGAAATTTTAAGAAAAAACATTGCTACTTTAGAATGAGATCGCAAGCCACTTTCACCTGCACTAAGGACTGAAGTACAACCAACCTGAAAGTTTCCTGGAAGCACTGTACCAACAGGGCAGGAAAATCAGCAACAGGTTCGGCAGTCCAGCGTTGTTCCAGGCAAATCTACAGCGCTAATTAGATTCCACCTCCAGAAACACTATTAATGGATCTGTCTAGGACACCAGGAAGTCAAGATTTTCACCGCAGGACAGCCATAAAAGTAAAAACCATGTCATCTTTATGCTATTAGTTGGCAACATGAGAAGATCTCTAGTATTGACATTTTGGGCTGTAATTTCCTACATAAACACATATATGCTACTAAACCAGTCTACTCAGCCATATTCAGTTTGTTTACTATATACAAACATTTTTATTAACACATTGAAGCAATAGTGGAAGAAAACAGGTTTCTTTGCTTTGGCTGATGTTAAGTTCAAAAGACACAGGAGCACAGATTAGACTAAAAAATTTTATTGAACCTTGTCCAAAATCCAGTTAGGCACACAGTTTATCCATTCCACTAAGGCTTGTCATTCTGTATGGCACAGAAAAATGCATCTCAACAAGCTGAAACATCAAACAACTAAATTACGGAAGTTAAGGCACTTGAGATGAGTGTTAAGTTAGAAAAATTGCATAAGAATAACATTCTATTTTGAATGATAGGGTCCTTTTTGAGCTTCAATCTAACGTGGCCAAATTCTGTAACCTCTTGAGACAGGGGAGAGGCACAAGCAGGAGACAAAAGTCTCGTCATATCTTCTCTGACTAGTAACCTCCAAGGCCACCACAGCCTACAGAAGGAAGGGCTGCAAAAATTTCCTGTAGTATAGGTGCTGAACTACACAACAGTTCGGGCTGAGGCACAGTGTCTTCCACTCAAGAATCCTTAAGGCAAAGTATCTTTGTGAGATGAGAGAACAAAAGGAGAGAGCAAAAAAAGCACATGCATTCAATTGTAAGGCTAACAAATCTTTCCTGGGGTAACAATATTTATCCTGGGATTAGGTATCTTTGCCCACTCCCATCTTGGTTTCTATATTTGAGAGCATGAGTGTTGGTCAGTGTAAGAATTTTTTTTTTTTTGACTCTGAGCCACTATTTACAACTTAAATGTTGCATTTTCAGCATTTGGCAAAGAAAGTTTTTAATGAATAATTGAATTAATAACTCAATTCTACCTGTTGAAAATTCTCCCTTCATATGTGAAACAATCTCTTGCATCATGCAGCAGTTAAGTACTCTTCTCAAATGAGATACAGCTCTAGGATATGCACATTCCATACCGGAATCTGAGTATGCTCCAAGAGTCATACACAGACTGAAGGAAAAGATTTCCAGGTACATGAAGATGTTTTCTCAACCACGAAAAGGCATGACAGATAAGTTATTGTCACCTGCTATGCATGAACAGGAAATAAAGTGATAAATATTTGAGGGGAAAAAAAACACATACAGAAAACAAATTATGCAACTGAATTCCAAGTACTGTTTCTAGTTAGTCTAACAGAAATGTAGTACTAAGCATTAAGTTCTGAATTTCACTAGAAGTAGAGTTGTTCAAGAAGATGTAAAGCTTATGGAAAAAAGAGATTGCATCTTAACACTCTGTCCTTCAGAGCAAATTGCTTGTGACATTTAAGGCACTACATGTCGTCTTTGGTTCAGTGTTTAACTATCTCATTCAGTGTACAGAGAGGTAGCATGAACCACGTATATTTAGCTCTTCCATTCCATTCCATGCAATTGCAGATGTTACAGATTCTGGAATCCTTTAACTCATTAGGAAACTGCAGGAACAAAATAATAAACATTCTTATTAATTTTATATGAAACAAAGGCATGCAGCATTCCACTTAACTTTCCTATATGCCAAGAAAATCCGAATGACAAAATCAGGCCTAATGCAACTACAACGCAAGTAGCTTTGCGGAAGTTGCTTAAAAGGGAGTCGTCTAGTAACTCAAAAGCCAAGACAACCACATGTTACCTACAACAAAGTTAACAGAAGTCTGTAAGACCATTGCATAGACCAGAAAAAAAAGCTGACCAGTTATTAAGTGGGGAATAAGTTCAGCTCTCTTCTAGTCTTGAGAAAAGTCTTGGTTTATTATTTAGATATTTTTAAATAAGAACTGACTTCTCAGAGAAAAGGGATATGTGCCTATGACATTACATTAGCCTTCCAAATTAAACTCTTCGCAGAAGCTGAGATGGTTAGAAGCTGGTACCTCAGCATGTATTTATTCCTTCAAAATGCATAAAACCTAGTAAAAATCAACATGATAACTATACCAACAGTATATATAGTAAGCAGTCAATTAATAGTGCTAGACTCTCTACAGAAGCTATCTCAAAATGTATGCAGCTTTAAAGCATCAGCCATCCTCCCTGTTCTCACAAATAAAGATTAATAATCAAGATGTATGAATATGAAGAGATAAGTAGAAAGAAAAAAGACACACTTGTTTTCAGTATAAGTTGGCTGAGATATCACTATAAAATATTTTATAATATGTAATGGCATGATAATGAGAGTACCACAAGCTTTCCTTTGGCCAGACTGAAAAATCGTGGTACCACCAAATACCGTTATTTCTGGTGATTATATCAACCAATATTGTCACTTTTTGAGAAGTCGAACATTTTTAAAAGCTATCTCCCACCAAATTAGATTTCAGAAAATAAGCCTTTGCCTATTTCTCCTTTCTGGTCTATATTAATATTACCAGATAAGGAAATAACAGTCAGCAAAAACAGATTCATTCATAAACATACAGTCCAGATAAAAACCCCAAACTTCTAGTATCACTCTCAATCTCCAAGTCCTCATTTGTGTTTACCCACTTCCTTCAAAAAAGTCTATGGAGTTGTAGCTGTATTGCAATGCACAGGAAAACAACGACTGATGCAGCAGAGAAGACGTACCTGTATGGGTAGCCATGGTATTTAGATCTGAAGACAGACAGCAACCAGCTGAAGAACACCACCACCAAGCCAATACCAGCAATACACATAACTGCAAGAGACGCAGAATAAGATTCTGGTAATGTGACAGCTGTCCCCAAAACCACCACAGTGACCGGGAGTCTTCAAAAGCATTCAGTAATATTTACAGATTTGGTCAGATGAGACCTCTATTAGATTCACTGAAAAGAACTATATTACCACCAATTCCTACTGTAAACCAATTTTATATCATAGCTTTCAGAGAAAGGTAAGTCCCTTCTCTCCCTCACTAGCAAAATGCTGCAAAGCATCTTTATATCTCCCCATCTCCCAAAAGAGTTTATCTTGCAGTTTGCTAAGCAACTCCAAATGCTGCTGAAAAACCAAATTATTCATTTCTGCTTAGAGGCAGGAAGTGCACAAAACCCCACAGTGCAAAAGCATTTCTATTAAATAGTGTATCAAAAAATCTTTACTTAATATGCCTTCTCTTAGAAAGAGAAATACTAGTACTTACTTTTTCTTTTTCCCACATCCATGTCAGAAGTAGCAGCTTCATGGAGGAGTACCATGCCTAAAGTAACAGCACCATCTACAAACGCTGTTTAAGGCTAAATCAACAAAATACAATAGACAATATAATACACTCACCATTCCTAACATCATAAATTCAGCTCCCACTCCATACCTGGGGCATTAAAACTCACTGAAAAAATTAAAGGTTTCCAGCCAAACCAGCAACTGTGGGGGAAAAAAGCAACTGAAAGGCATTCATAACATCAACTTGTAACAGAAAATAAAAATAAAGTTTAAAACATTAACTGGAAGGTACAGTAGGTCTTGACACAAAATTAAAAGCTTGCATTTATTATCTCAGCTTGTAACAGAAACAGCATTCCTTCCCAGAGAGTCCACTCCTGCTACTGTTCTTCTCCACTGGAAAATCCCAAAAGGAATTCCAACTTCTGCATTTTACTCGGCTAACAAAATGAATAAAGTGCATGCAATATTTAATCTAACAGGATATTTTTCAAGTAGCAATATTTCAGTCTTTTCTAATTCTTCAACTAGGAAAAAAAAAAAAAAAAAAAACAACTAAAGCTTGTAAAATTAAAGAAGCACAGACCACTTCAAAGGCCTGGTATTTGCAAAGAATAAATCCTGGCAAAGCCAAATAGTGGATCCAGAGGAACAAAAGACAGAATTCCCAAAGATCTCGTTGCATTTCACTACAGATGTTCAGTCCCAATCCTCCTTCTGAAATAAGAAATACTTATCATTGACTGCAACCAGACCATTAAGAAATCCTTCTATTTCAGATGTGATCTATCTACAGCACAAGAGAAAAGTGACAGAAACCTACAGAAACCCTGCCAACTTCTACAAGTTTAAATGTCTCTAGCAACTGGTAGATTAGGTCCATAAAGTGATGGATAGCAGTAGCAAAAAATAAACAACAAAGTTTCTAGGTTGCATTTGACTGAGTGCATCAGAAGTACAGTAATGATCAGAAAAAGATCAAAAGTCAACCTCCAAATGGAGGTTTTAAGTTTAAAAAAAAAACTTTGATAATGAATACAGAGCAATAGAGTGAAGTTCTTTTAACACCACCATATTTAAACAACAATTGCTTCCTTTGTATTATTTTATTACAACAAATGCAATGCATGACTTGCTGAAATTGGGATTCTGAATGGAAAGAACAAGAAAAGGGATAAATCAGCAGAAGTCACTCCGTTAAAGAACATTCTGTTAATCTTGTTAATCACTGTCAGGCAGTGAAGAGGACAGGTACTTTAAATGAAGTTTTGAAATGATGTGCCTATAGTAATTCTGTATACTTGTGTACTATTAAATGTAAACAATTTGGGACTGTGAAGATGCAAGAAAAAATGACAACATTAAATAAAATTAAAAACCCTAAATAAAATAATGCATAGGCTGACACAGGTGATGAGACAAAGAAGAAAAGCTTGAGTCAGAGATGACTAAAGTTAGAGATGATGGATCAAAAACATACATGAAGGAACAGAAGAAGAGAATAATGAATTTTATTCTCATTACTCCAAAGAAACATTTTTATATAAATGAGAAAGGCAAAAGCTCTCAACCTGCAATTTTCCGCTTGCCTTTCTTGATGGCATAATACTGGCATAGAAAAATCCTGATTCATTAGCAGGAGCGAGGGTGGCAAGATTAAAAGTAAAGAAGGTAAGCAAAGAAATAACAGAAGAAATATCAGTAACTGAGGAAGAAATTCAACACCAAAGCAAGAACTAAATAGGCAAGATTGAAAGAGTAAGACATGCACAGAGGAGCAGGCACTATCCTGAAGAATCTTCTGATTCCACATCTTTAACACTGTATTCAGTTCAGTCATTATGCAAGGAAGAAGGTGATGAGAAAGCACTAAACATTTTTCTATTCAACTTAAAGATCACTGGCGTAGGAAAAGCATAGTTGTCAGCAGACACTCTACAAGCTTCTGCATCAGTATTAGGTGACAGTTACAAGCCTTGACAAAGTACTCTCATGGAGAAAAATACTCTCATGGCAGCAGCATAAGCTAACAAAAATCATCACCAACCACATGCTTCTCAGTAGGAAGGATACTGAACAGAAGAACAATGTGTGTTTCTGCCACGAATTGGGCTTGGCTGCTTCCATGGATATAGTTCTGTAAGAGACAAAGAGTAATTGAATTTAGAAAAGACTGAAGTCAACTTTGACATGATTAACAACAGCTACAGAGCTTGGAACTGGGTTTTGCACTGTCTCTTTCGGGAGACAGAACAGAAGTTGGAGCATGAACAACAATTTCATCTGTTGTCCATTGATTTTTGGGAGGAGCTGTGTCAGCATCAGAAATCCTTCTTCTATTATCATGCACAATCAACCCAAAGTACCATTCAGATTATAATACTGCAAGTGCAGCTACAACCTTCATGCTCCAGATCCCTGTTCAGCAG